TCGAGAGCTCGCGAAGGCCCCACAGCCCGAACACCACGCCACCCGACCCCCCATCGGCCACACCCGATGCGCCCTGTGACTGGTCCTGGCAATCTTGGGCGGCCCGCCACGGGGGAACACAGAGACTTCGGCCCGAGACCTTCACTTCTCGCCGCAGTGCATACACGTAAAGGAAGCCTTAGCAACTTTCTCAACAGCATGGCCCCCGGGATCGGGCACGAGCTCCAGGAGACACGCCTTGGCTCGTCTGGGCCGCCGTGGCCGAGCCACATCGGGAAAGGACCGAGAGCTCAAACCGTTCATGCTTTCGGCGATCAGCCATGCTGCTTGCCGCACTCGCTGCACTAAATCATTATAACACTACTTAGTGTGTGGATTGTGGGGTTGGGCTCGAGCTCCTTTCTTGGCCAGCTCGTCGGCCTTCTTATTCCCCCCTCTACTTCCATTCCCCTATCCTACGAACGCGGGACTGGTGGAGGGACAGGTGAGACTCTATCCCACTCACTGTTACATTATCTGTCCCAACGTCAGCGGCCAACCTAAATTTGTTGTTTCGAATTTTGAACAGGCAACTTTCTCGAGGTCCTGCAGGGGCCCTTTCTTCCACACGTCTATGACCATGGCGCAAACAGTCATAACTTCCGCGAGTTCGGCCCCCGCAAGACGGAGGCACATCAGGAACGCATGCACCTCCCCACACCCAGCAACCTGAACCGCGTGTGGAAGTGGTCCGTACGCTGATCCCTGGATCCAGACTCCAAGCCTATCTGCATGAACGCACACCACAGCTCACCCCGCCCTGGAGAACTGAGGGAGCCCAGGGTTCAAGCCAGACCCGTTGATAGAGATCCTGGTCCCATGAAGACCTCCTGGGTGGACCACTTCCCACTTGTGGCCAGCCACAGCGTGCGGAGCAGGTCAGACAGTCGGGCTTGGCGCCAAACCCCTGGTCACAAGCAGGTCGGTGCCTGGGTCACCAGGCTGACGCATGATCTGAACTCTCCTCCCTCCTCCCCCCTTGTAGCAGGAGTGCAGAATATTCACAAGTAGGTTTTGCACTAGGTTCAATAGAGTGTGTCTTACCGTTGGGACACGTTTGGCTCAAGGGACAAACAACTATATATGTATATATATGTATATATGTATATATATATATATATATATATATATATTATTGCCCCTGCTGCTGCCACAGTTGGTAGCGGAGCCTGATGCAGCGGGCGGCCATGGGTGGCGGCGGGCATCTTGAGGGAGGCTGGCTCGGCCGCGGCTCGCGAGCCCCCGCTGTCTCCAGGCTCGCGCCGACGGGGCGGCGCGGCACGCGGAAATGCCCGACGATGACGGCAGGAATGCGACCGCCTTCTCGGAGGAGTCAGGAGCCACGCCAGGGGCGGTGTCAGCTCCTACCGATCCTCCGGGGGCGGTGACCCTCTCAGCTCAGCAGCTGAAAGAGCTGGTGGCAGGGGTAGTCCGAGAGACTATGCAGGGCGCGGCGCCGACAGCTCCGGCAGCCAAGCCGACGACCACCGGCTCCGAGGGTCCAGATGAGCCAAGGAGTGGGACCCCTGGCGGCACGACGGACAGGCAGCAGCAGACGACAAGCGGTCCGCCAAGGGTCTCGACGACAGTTGGAAGGACAACAGATGGAAGGACGACAGTTGGAAGGACGACAGTTGGAAGGACAAGAGTTGGAAGGACGATCCGGGCGATGCCGCCTGGAAGGCATACGAGTCAAGCTGGAAGCCGTGGCAGGGCTCCAGCAACGGCGGAGGCTGGTTCGGGAAGGGTGACTACAGCGATCCCCCAGCATGGCCCGGCTGGGGCCACTACCGAGCCTGGCGCAAGGGCCTCCGCCGTTGGAACACAAACACGGACGTACCGACGTGGAGAAGATCCGAGAAGTTTCTTCGTTTTTTCGAGTGGAACATGCAGTCTCAGTTCGACATCAGTCCAGAGCGTGTGCTGACCAGTGACGAGTGGATAGAGGCTGTCATGAAGAAGATGGACCTCGTGATCGGTGAACGAGACGGAGATGACCTGCGACGGAGTGGACGGAAGGCTCTATACGAGGCCTCACGTGAGCAGAAGGAGTCTCTCACCCAGTTCGCGGCCAGGCGCGAGGCGCAGTTCCTCGAGGCTGAGGCCCATGATCTTACCCTTTCTTCGAAGGTCAAAGGGTTCCTGCTCGAGGAAGGCTCTGGGCTGACTGCCCCCTGCCCAGGGGGTGCAGAACCTTCGCGCGCTGACGCTTGGTCGGCTAGATTTTGAGAGCGTGCGTTGGGCGCTCCGACAGATGGACGCGCCCGGCTCAGAGCGAATGCTTCCGGGAGGAAGGCAGGCCCCACTGCCGGGAGGCGCCGAGGCTGAGGAGCCCGGTGCCGCCAGTGGCAGCTCTCCCTTCCCCTCTTACCCGGTCGGTCGGTCGGAGATTGGTCTGGAGTCCAAGGTTGAAGACGAGCTCGACCTGGATGACGACGACGGCTCCGACGACGGCGAGGATGAAGCAGCGCCCCTGGCCGAGATCGAGGATCTGCACCTCGAGGAGGCCCAGGCGGAGGGGGCCATGGCCATGTTCGAGTCTCGCCCCAACATCCGCACCTAAAGCCAGAACAAAGACATGAAACGAGCAGCTCGTCCGAATCGAGAGTATTTCGGGCGGCCGCGTTCCGGGGGACCGGCCCCCCCTCCACCTCGGGGTCGAGGCGGTCGGCCAGAAGATCGAGGAGGGCGCGGAGGCGGCGACCGCGGTCGAGGAGGAGGGGGCCGCGGCATGAGGAGACGGCCCAGACTCTCGAAGGAGCAGCCGATGAAGGTCACCAGATGCGGGACTCGCAAGCAGAAGGGCCACTGGCACCGCGCGTGCCCGGAGAAGGACAATCCCAAGTTCAAGCAGGAGCAGCCGCGGCAGCGCGGCCAGCGGCGGACTGCGTCGGCGCACGCCTTCGTCGGCTGCGAGGCGAGGCCCAGCAAGCCCATCGCGGTCGACATTCTCGAGAATCTGAAGACCGCCGGCCAGGAGATCTCGAAGTGCAGCGGGGAGCCAGGTCTACCTGGCGGCATCCGACACTCAGGCGTTGGGGGGCCCAGGCGCCGCAGCGACCTTGTCGGTCTCGCGGCCCTGAACCGAGAGTCGAGGGCCCTCGAATCCCTCGGCATGTGCTACGAAGCGATTTCGAAGCATGCTCAAAGGCCTTGCGCTGCACGTGGCGTGGGCGGAGCCGCCAAGGTGCTCGGCGCAGTTCTATTTCCGATTTGTCTTGGAGCGTCTCTCGGCGTCGTCGAGACCGCGGTGCTCGCAGAGGACGCCCCTCGCATTTTGAGTGTCAGTCTTCTGGAGTTTCTCGAGTGCGTCATCGATTGGCCCGGGAATGTCATGGCCTCGGGATTTCTGAAGACGGACATTTCTCTCACTCGTCTCGGATCAGGGCACCGCGTGGCTGGGGTTGTGCAGCAGCTACCCATGGCACTAGAGATCCCAGAGGGCGCCCTTCGCAGGCACCCGCTTCTGGACAGGACTTTGTTCATGCTAGGCGACCGCTCCCCGTGGGGGATGTTCGAGTCCGGGGAGGTGCGATGATGCATCCTTCTCTTCTTCCTCCTCCTCATCCCGGCATCCACCCTGGCCAAGACAGCGAGGGGGTTGGCGCGGTCGAGAAGGTCTCGGACTGAAGCGAGCAGGTTCCTCCCCAGGTTCCGTAAGCTCTGGCACGCGGTGTTCATCGGGGTTTTCTTGTCCCGAGCTCAGGTGGCGCCCCGCAAACTGCGCCGGGGCTTAGGACCAACCGGGAAAGCTAAGGCGAATCAAGGGAAGCCGTGCCAGCTGCAGGG